TTCCAACTTACCAGCTGCTTCCCCACCCACATGACCCAGAACTTAGTGAGGCTTCCATGCAGAGCGACGCGAACTGCACATCTGACCCTATTTAGGAAGATCAACGAACAAGGCAATTAAGTCTAGCGCCCAAAGTGGGCTTGGCGTTTAGGGACTGGCTGGCTGGCTACACGGCATTTCTGGTCAGGCAGGGCGTTTACAGGAACCCCGAAGTTCGGTCGGCTGAGGTGGCATCCAGGCAGGAGTGGCCTGTCGGGGGCCTAGCAATTTATTCCAACACATCACAGTGGCCCTACCAAAGAAGTCATCACCTTCTTTTTTACAAGTGTGTAAACTCAATTCAGAAAGGTTAAGTGACACTTGCGGCCAAATGAGTCAGGAATGTTAGTGCAACAGTTAAGTCTTGAGCTTTGGAGTCGGCTTCCTGGAAGGATGCTTCTGGCTTGTCATCTGTCCCTCACTGCCTGGTAGAGACTCAAGGACATTTTGTAAATTTCAACCCCAGCTAGAAGTAAACCCGGGCCAGGGACTGGGCAGTATTCCTGTCCGTGTGTCCAGGCAGTCACGGTATCCTTTCCAGCTCCCAGGGGTGGGGGTGCCTCTTCTATAACAGGGTTCCTCTCCCCTATATCCTCCCTGCTTGCCAAGGAGAAAGGCCCAGATCTTAAAATTCAACCTCATTCCCTCCCTCCAGACGATGGGGCTTGGCTTTACCACATAGCTTTGCAAAAAGCAGCAGTAATCCAACCACATATCTTCTTAAGAGTGGTTTGTTACTTTTAACAGGAAAAACATGATTATCAAAAGATCAGAGAAGGCCAGATCCCAGGCAGGGATGGGGCTGGATGAGTCAGAGACTCTGCTCTGCTCCTCTTTGAACCTCCAGGGGCCCAAAGACAGGAAATGCTTTGGCAAATATTGAGGAAAGGGCGTGCAGGAAAGAAAAGACTGATAGGAAGCTGAATGGTCGGCGTGGGGCTGCTTTCTGTGATGCTGAGGCCCAAAACTGGGCTGGCCAGGCTTTATTTAAAAATGAGCCCAAAGAAGGGTCTCGGGGACCTTGACGAGGTTTCTCTCCCAGCACATGCCTGGGAGCAGCCTTGAGGAAGCCACCTGTGGACCACTGTTGGGCATCAGTCTCACTCACAGGAAGAGAGACAGGTGGCCCCGTGGTGTACACAGAGCCCTGTGTGTCATCAGTGGGGACAACTTTGGGAGCAAATTATAGAGCAGCTTTAGCTTCAGTCTCCTGATAATGTCTTCAGTTTTGAGGGCTAGTTTTTCCTCCACCCCTGGATAAAATTCAAGGCAGTCTCCATGATTTTCCCAGATGTTCTCTCAAGTAACAACCACCATTCCGCCATCACTTAAGTCCCAAAACACAGTGTCAACAAAAATAAATAAATGATTCTGTAGATTGCCTTTTTGTTTTGTTTACAGTTTCCTTTGCTGTGCAAAAGCTTATTCAGTTTAATTAGGTCCCATTTGTTTATTTTTGCTTTTATTTCTACTGCCTGGGTAGACTGCCGCAGGAGAACACTGCTAAGGGTTATGTCGGAGAATCTTTTGCCTATGTTTCCTTCTAGGTGTATCGTATCTGGTCTTATGTCTAAGTCTAAGCCTTTTGGAGGTTAGTTTTGTGTATGGAGTGAGGGAGTGTTCTGACCTCATTCATTCACACGCAGCTGTCCAGCTTTCCCAACACCACTTGCTGAAAAGACTGTCTTTACTTCATTGCATATTTGTTACCGAAGGCAAGTACGTGTCATCCCTTGATGCTGGGGGGATGGCTGCTGCCCCAGGTTTAGATCACGTCCTTTGGGGTGAGGCCTCCTTTATATTTGCCTCGTTATCCGCATTAGGGGAAAACTGATCAGATATGGTGACCAGGTTGAGGTATGTAAATGGGGAAACACATTATTGATCATACATCTTATCACTTATACCCGGTTGTTACACAAGCATTGTACACGTGCTCTGAGCAACAGACACAGAGAAAGCACTGTTGTACATCGTGAGCAGTTATACTCCGTGACAACTCCACTAGAGAACTCTCTTTCTACCCTAAACATTGAGGCCAACAGTGTGGTTGGAAGTAAAACAATAACTTTCAATATTGATAGGGAGACAAACATCTGATAAACAATTCAATTAGAAAATAAAGATGAAAAGCCAGTAATATTTCAGACAAAAGCAAAAAATTATAACCAAATTCACCAGTTAACTCACTCCTGTGTAATCAATCCTTTTCACTAAGTTTTACTAGGTCAGAGTTTATTAGACTTTTAAAAAATATCTTACCCAGTTCACCAGTATAATTTAAAAGAAACCGGTACTTGTGAAAAAGTCCTTTTTATGAATTTTTTTGTATATATATATTTTTTAATTGAAGTATAGTCAGTTTATAATGTGTCAACTTCTGGTGTACAGCATAATGCTTCAGTCATACATGAACATACATATATTTGCTTTCATATTCTTTTTCACCATAAGTTACTATAAGATATTGAATATAGTTCCCTGGGCTATGCAGTATGAACTTGTTTATCTATTCCTTTTTTATGAATCTTATTGAAGATGAAGCAGTTTTGCAAAGCATCAGCCTAACTGTTTATGAATGATAAAAGATTTTAAAAGGCAGGTTTAAAGATCAGGCTACAACATTTTTGACAAAGAAGCTTAATCAAGTTGCTGTGGCATAAGATATTTT